GTCTGGGGATGGTAAGGGGAGCTCATGCTTGGCCCAATGCCACAGAGCTTTTTAGAGTTGATGTGTGACCTCTGGGATAAATTGGGAGCCCTGATCCGAGAAAAATCCATTCGGGAGAAAATTTGCATCTGGGCTTCCACAACCGTTTCTGCGTGAATGTTGGTTAACGCCACCGCCTCTGGGTACCAGGTCGCATAGTCCACTACTGTCGAGATATACTTCTTGCCGGAGGGGTTAGGCTCGCCAGGTGTCCTACCAATCTGCTACCAGGCCGAAGGGCTCTTCGATAATGGGAAGAGGGTGAAGTTTAGCCTTGTGGCAGTCTCCCCTCTTTCCTACCTTCTGACAGGTATCACTTCAAACTAAAAGAAATTGGTCTAGATGAATATTCTTGTTGTTGGGTAGAACACTGGCTTAAGAATAGAGTACAACAAGTTGTCATTAATTTTAAATTTGCAGGCTGGACAAAAGTGGTAAGTGGTGTCCCTCAGGGTTTTGTTTTGGGACCGCTTTTTTATTTAACATATTAATAAATGATCTTGAAATAGGCATTGAAAGCCATGTATCAGTATTTGCAGATGACACAAAACTTTGTAAAGTAATAAAATGTGAGCAGGATATTGCTTTGCTACAGAGGGATTTGGATAGATTGGGGGACTGGGCACTAAAATGGCAGATGAAATTTAACGTAGAGAAAGTCATGCACTTTGGGGTTAAGAATGCACAAGCAACTTACACCCTAAATGGTAGTGAATTAGGGATAACCACATACGAGAAGGATTTGGGAATTGTTATAGACAACAAATTAAACAGCAATATGCAATGTCAATCTGCAGTTGCTAAGGCCAGTAAGGTTTTGTCATGTATAAATAAGGGCATAAATTCTCGGGATGAAAATATAATTTTGCCTCTTTATAAATCGCTGGTAAGACCACACCTTGAATATGCTGTGCAATTTTAGGCACCTGTTCTAAAGAAAGATATCATGGCACTAGAAAAATTGCAGAGAAGAGCTACAAAATTGATAAAAGGAATGGAGCATTTTAGTTATGAAGAAAGGTTAAAAAATTTAAATCTGTTTAGTTTGGAAAAACGGCGCCTGAAAGGGGATATGATAACATTAAACAAATATATTTGGGGCCAGTACAAACCTTTATCTGGAAATCTATTCATAAACAGGGCTATACATAGGACACGAGGTCACACATTTAGGCTGGAAGAAAGGAGATTTCATCTAAGGCAAAGAAAAGGTGTTTTTTTTTTTTTTTTACAGTAAGAGCAATAAGGATATGGAATTCTCTGCATGAAAAGGTGGTTTTGTCGGTCTATACAGATTGGTCTATACAGATTGCAAAAACGTAACATACAGGGATATAATTTCTAATTAGTGGGGTAATAGCTGCTTGATCCAAGGAGACATCTGACTGCTATTTTGGGGTCAAAAAGGATTTTTTTTCCTAGTTTGTTGCAAAATTGGAAGCATTTCAGCCTAGGTTTTTTTGCCTTTTTTTTGGATCAACAGCAAAAACATATGTGAGGAAGGCTGAACTTGATGGACGCAAGTAACTATATAACAAGTCTGGCAATATTGCTTGATGTCTTGGGAAATACCTTACTTAGAAAAAGCCTGTACTGAGTTAGTCTATTATTTTGTCCGGCTAACTCTTTTAAGTGTCCAGAAAGTGGGATGTCACTTTTGTGGCACAACAAGTCGACACCAGCCACTACCTTCTTAGATTCCCTATATTGCAGTCCCTTGCTCCAAGCATACCTCTCTCCCTTACACCTAGCCTGGATAGAAGTGACCCTGTCCCTATATATTTTGAAAGTGGGGTCCGTGGCTACTTGCCTCCCAAAATCAGTAGGGGTATCCCAGGGAAGGATTTCTAAGCTCTGTGAATTTGTACTGACCTGAACATCCGGAGGTGCGCAACAGTCCAGGGTGCGGGCCATCTGCTGGGTGGTTCCTGGTTGTTCAAAGGTAGAAGTGAGGTAGAAGTGAGCTTGCCCAAATTGTTCCCGAGCAGCACCTCTGCTGGCAATTGCTGCATCAACCCAACTTCCACCATCCCTGACCCTGCACCCCAATTCAAATGAACCCTGGCCGTGGGTGTCCTGTACACGGCTCTCCCCCCTGCCACACGGACTGCCACTGAGTTTCCTGTTCGGGCTGAATCAGGAACCAGATATCTGCAGACCAGAGTGAGGATGGCCTATGTATCCCGAAGTCCTTGTACCACTTTCTCCTGCAATTGAACTGGCTGCCTGTGGTGATGGCGGATATCTGTAGTGGCTTGGATGGGGTCTGCCTCATGCAATGTTCCCCAGCTTTCTTTTGGTTCGGAAATCAAAGTATAGGATGTTGCCTCTGAGTGTTAACAATGGGCAGTCACTCTGTTCGCTGGAGGGGGCCCGGGGCAATTCCATTGCGCCCTATTCTGGTGGCAATCTCGCCTCATGTGCTGCATTATATTTGGTTATGAGGTTAGAAGCGGGGAGGCATAGGGTTGAACACATCTCCGCTTTGTGGCTGTATCGGTGGTCCCGGAGGAGGCAGGGCTGGTTGAGGGAAAATCTTTAGCTATGTTGGCCTCTCGTGGTGGCAGGCATCCAAGTAACCATGCCTACCTGCTTCTGTGAGGTTGGTTCCTGGATGTCTGGAGCTAGCCTATTGTAAAATTGTTCCAACAATATCAGTTGTAGCAGCCCCTCCATGCTGCTCATTTGGTGTGTTTTTATCCATTGGAGGTGGCTCGGTGTAACCGGCATGTCCACTCTGCATGGGAGTCCTTCTTGTTTTTTTTTTTAAGTCTCTGAACCACCTTCGGTATGCATCCAGAGTCCAGATGGCATACCTGACTAGGGCATAGTCTCGAAACTCTTCGTCAGGGACTGCTCTGTAGGCATCAGCGGCTCTCCCTGACAGCTTGCAGGCTAAGAGAGGAACCCAATCCTCTGGGCTAACTTTGCTTAAGATACACTGCCTCTAAAAAATCTTGGAGGAAGGAATCAATGTCCTCCTCTGCTTCTACATGGTTTTTGAATGCCCAGTAAGGGATTTTTGGCTTACCCTCCTGTATGTTGGGTACCCCATGGTTTGTTCACTTGCCTGATATTCGGTTAGGTGCAGTCTGTTTTCTTATTTGGCTTTGACCAGCATGAACTCCTGTACCTCTGACATCGTTTGAGCTAAGATTTCTGTAGAGGGATTTTCGCTGCAGAAAGCCAGCTGAAAGAATAGCTCCCTCTGAAAGTCACTTTCCTCCATCACTGGTAGATCAGGAGTACTGCTGGTTCTCCTCCATCGATTACTTGCTACCTTACCCCTTGCCTCTAGGAGATCCTTCAATGTGGAACGTTTTAGGATGGTGTAGTCGACCTTCATCTACGATCCATTTGGTAAACTGCTTTCCACTGACTGTGTAGAAAAACACAACCTAAAAATAAAATACAAACAGAGAAGGACCACAAATGGTACAGATAAAATGGCATACCATAAAATAATAAAAACTAAGATGCACTCACAAACACATGTGTAAAATAGGAGGAGTACGGATTAATGAGAACGAATACTTCTGTTCTTCTCTTCTCCCACTTTTAGAACTTTAGGGATAAAAGAGAAACACAAAACATAGTGTACAAATGGATAGTATAAAGAAATGCTTTATTTGATTGCATTCACAAGAGTTAAGTAGTAAAAGAGCCCATCAAAATCACAGTATATCTTCAATCCCTCTGGAAAGGTTAATCACCACCAAGGATGAGAAGTTCAAAGCGAAAAGATAGGAAATAATAATAAAAAAAAACCAGCAATATAAAAGCACTCTTGCCACCCTACGCGTTTTGTCCAGAGACTTCGTCAGAGGTATCAGGCTGTTGTCCTCCAGTTGTCTCTTCATATGTTGTTTAAATAGCCCGCTTGAAATGTCCTAATGGCTCACTAGCCAATCAGGAAAAAAATCAGTTCTCACTTAATAGCATCCACCTGTAAAAAAATAAAGGTTGCCTTCCGTATACTGCATCTCCTTCTGGAATTTTGTGTTCCAAGACTCGTTTTCGGCAATGGGCGGATATGATGTAATATTACCCTTACGGCAATGGAACGCATATGTGTTCCATACACCCGGCATCGGATAACATCTTCTCCCATTGGCTAAATGCTCCATTACCGGGGTATCGGCATAGAGATTATATCAGAAGGAGGAGTGTGCAGAAGTAACGTTAAAATATATAAATAAATACAAACTTGAAATACACATGTATAAATGAAAGGCATCAAAAAATTCATCATTATAAAAAGAATCAGACTTACAGTATATAAAAAGAAATTCACTAATAACATTATTTAAAGGAACACTATAGTCACCTGAACAACTTTAGCTTAATGAAGCAGTTTTGGTGTATAGAACATGCCCCTGCAGCCTCACTGCTCAATCCTCTGCCATTTAGGAGTTAAATCCTTTTGTTTATGAACCGTAGTCACACCTCCCTGCATGTGACTTGCACAGCCTTCCATAAACACTTCCTGTAAAGAGAGCCCTATTTAGGCTTTCTTTATTGCAAGTTCTGTTTAATTGAGATTTTCTTATCCCCTGCTATGTTAATAGCTTGCTAGACCCTGCAAGAGCCTCCTGTAGGTGATTAAAGTTCAATTTAGAGGTTGAGATACAATTATTTAAGGTAAATTACATGTGTTTGAAAGTGAAACCAGTTTTTTTTTCATGCAGGCTCTGTCAATCATAGCCAGGGGAGGTGTGGCTAGGCTGCATAAACAGAAACAAAGTGATTTAACTCCTAAATGACAGTGAATTGAGCAGTGAAATTGCAGGGGAATGATCTATACACTAAAACTGCTTTATTTAGCTAAAGTAATTTAAGTGACTATAGTGTTCCTTTAAAATCAATAAAATAAAATTAGAAATTGACATGATCAAATTACCACCCGTAGATGCTTATAAAAACCTTGTAAAAAATCACACCATATCAAAATCAACATTCATTCCCTCGGGTTGCATGGTTTTAATGGTATAAATCCAGTACCCCTCTCTTTGTCTTAATTTGAGAACCAGATCACCCCCTCTGTCATCAAGGGAAACTTTCTCTATCCCAATGCACGAAAAACTGTCTGGATTAAAACTCCTCCAGTTATTACAATACACTGGGACTGAATGTGTTAATATATGCGTTGTGATATTATTCTTATGTTCTAAAAAACCTTCTTTTTAAAGGTCTAATTGTCCTACCGACATACTGTACCCCGCACTCACATGTTAAAAGATATACCACATGTGAAGTGATGGATTCTTTTATCGAGAATTGTTTTTTTGTATTAAAACTTTCAACATTTTCTTTTTTAAATGTCTTATAATTACAACTTTTGCATGACCCTCAGGATAAAAACACAACACTTTTCTTTTCTCTATGTTCCTAGTTTCTAAAAGTGCTAATAAAGTTTTACAATTTCTACCTTTCCTAAAAATAATTTGTGGTACAGGCGGAAGTTCAGTTTTTAAGAGATCATCATCTAATAAAAGTGGCCAATGTTTATGGAGAATCTTCTTGATTTTTGTTGCATGGGCATAATATTGTGTATTAAAAGAAAACACAAATGTATTTGTAACAGGGGAATAGACTCCTTATTAATCAACAAATCAACTCTGTTACAATGAAAAGAATGTGTTATTTTTTGTTAATACATTTTTCTGTGTAAACTTTTTCTAAAAATGTAATCTTTAAAAGGGAAGCTTGTTCTAAGAAAAGTTCTTGGTCGGTACAATTTCTCCTCAATCTCATAAACTGTCTCCGAGGAACCCCTCAGAGCCAGGTTGGATGGTGGCTACTTTCAGTGTCGATATAACCATTAGCATCAGTCGGCTTAAAAAAAAAGTTTTTGTTTATATTTTAGAATCCTTAATAAAAATTGTAAGGTCTAAAAAATGTATTTCATTCTTATTATAAACTGGTGAAAAAATGAATGAACAATTATTATCATTAATGTAAGCCATGAACTGTGTTAAAGCGTTTTCGGTGCCATTCCAAATAATAAAAATGTCATCGATATATCTTCTCCAGAGTACCAAGTTCGCGCCAAATGGATTATTAGACCAAATAAAATTCTGTTCCCAATGATCCAAAAAAATGTTCGCATAACTTGGCGCAAACTTGGTACCCATGGCTGTCTCTTGGAATTGGAGATAAAACTCATTATTAAAAAGGAAGAAATTATGTGTTAAAATAAAAAGAATACTATCTAATAAAAATTAGCAAAAATCTGCCGATATCTCTGTATCTAGCTCTAAGGCTGTCTTCACTGCCAGGAGGCCTAAATGGTGTTGGATGATCATATAAACTGACTGTAACGGAACCGCTGGCACCCCGACCGGGTACCTTCCGCCGACGGATGCTCCTAGTGCTTTCCGAGAACTCCAAGCACTCTGCCCGACACCATAACCACTCCAGACCCCACGAACCGCCGCAGCTTGGTTGGGGTCTCGCCATCTCCACCCACTCTGGACCCAAGACCAGGGTCGAGCTTCCAGTAGGTTGACCTCTCCAAATTCCAGAGAGCAGGAACAGGAACAAGCTCTTAGCAGAACTTAGTGATCATACCCTGGGGAGTATAGGGATTATAGCAATCCCCAGAGTGTAGTTTCTCCAATCCCCCAAACATGAGCCAAAACTTCATGAAGGTACAAGATGATCTGACTTTTAATGACCACACACTGGCTTTTATGCAATTCTCCTGCAAGGGGACATCCCACAGGGTGGGACACAGTACAACCAATCGTTTACAGAAAAACTGTAAAACACACCCATCCCCAACATACAATCCCTCCCCTCAGCCTCTGATATAATTACTGAACACAATGGGTTAATGTAATTTATCACAGGCAGGAAAAATACACTTTTTATACATACACTGTAACTTTAAAAATATGCATCATATTCACATAAAACATACATATTCAGAATCAGCACACTTTAAATATAAACATAACCAAAAATCATTCGAATCCCCCCAGTAGATAAAAAGTTAGCTGGGAGTCCTTTATGACCGACCGCAAGCACATTTTCATGCCCAAAACAGCTCCAGAGAATCAGGCTGTGCGGTCGGTCTATTTCCCATCTTAAAGTCAGTTCAAACAGACGAACGACAACCATTCGAATTGTCAAACTGTCGAATGGTGTTCGAACTGTCGAATGCATTGAAGTCTGGAGAAGGTAAAACTTCAGCTGAATTAAAGATGGCCGCCGCCACGTGTTCGTTTGTCGAATGGCGGCCCCCCCGGCGTTCGGCAATTTACCTACAGCAGGCTCCCAGCCTGGGAGGTAAATTGCCTGCACACTTCCACTTCTGGGTGGTCCGCCTGTGTGGTACCTGGTTCAGTAAGCCCCATTTACTGAACCAAGTTGGAAATAGCCAGGCACAAAGTATTTTATCGGTCTGGGGACATAGTCTTAAAGGGGCATTGTCACACAAAGTCTCAATTAACGGTTCTTAAAGGGCCAGCATGGTCCAATACAAGTCCATAAACCACAATGCAGTTCTTAAAGGGCCAGCAGCAGCACAATATAAATTCATTAGCCCAAATAATGTTTGTAAAGGGCCATACAACCCAGGGCCATAGTCATGAGGCAGGAGGCTGGCACTCAGGCTCCTCCAACAGCCAGGGGCAAAGGGCAGCTTGTCACCTAAAAATCACAGTGACATCAACTGTTTCCCAAATATAGTCACTTTTCCAGTCTAAACAGTCAATTTCTTGTATGAGACTTTTTGTGTCCTTCAGGTATGATCTTGCCCCCTGAGCCTACTTTTGGAGATGGAAATCTATAAATTCAGACAGTTTGGATGTAAGTGAGTGTATGCCACTAATAATCGGCCTCCCTGGTGGGTGAGAAATGGACTTATGGACTTTCGGCAAATTTATATAATTATTATATTCCACTATATGTCACAAGGGTAAAATTGTATTGTTTTTCCACTGACTGTGGTTCTTGTTCCGCAGTGAGCTCTGGATCCCTCTGCTGCCAACCAATGTAGCGAAGCTCTAGTCCTGATAAGGACTTTTCTCTGCTGGATCTGTAGTAACTGGAACTCTGGAACAAGGTGCTGTAAAGTGAATAGCTCTATCCCTCCCCATTCGGTAGAACGGAATCGCCATTTGGGTTAAGTAAAGGTGGTAGCCCAAATAGTTCCAGAGAAAAGTGGGCATTGTCCGGTAATTTTTCGGGAATTCTTGTGCGAACACCAATAAATGCTCCTCCTGGCTCTTAGAGAGTGAATGCTCCCCCAAGTCAGTAGTATCTGTGGCGAAAGGGACCTCGACACTGGTTTTTGGAGTGGGATTTTTATTGGACCGTGCTGGCCCTTTAAGAACTGTCTGGGGACATATTGTGACTTTTGGGAACAATGCTCCTTTGAGACTGTGTCCCCAGACCTTTAAAATACTTTGTTTGTGCCCTTTTCCCACTTGGTTCAGTAAATGGGGCTTACTGAACCAGGTACCACACAGGCGGACCACCCAGAAATGGAAGTGAGCAGGCAATTCACCTCCCAGGCTGGGGGATTGCTGTAGGTAAATTGCCAAACGCTGGGGGGCAATGTCTGTGTGAGTGCAGCCTCAGGTGTCTGGGCAGTGTGAGTGTGAGTGCTCCCTCAGGTGGCTGGGCAGTGTGTGAGTGCCCCCTCAGGTGTCTGGGCAGTGTGTGAGTGTGAGTGCTCCCTCAGGTGGCTGGGCAGTGTGTGAGTGTGAGTGCTCCCTCAGGTGGCTGGGCAGTGTGTGAGTGTGAGTGCCCCCTCAGGTGGCTGGGCAGTGTGTGAGTGTGAGTGCTCCCTCAGGTGGCTGGGCAGTGTGTGAGTGTGAGTGCCCCCTCAGGTGGCTGGGCAGTGTGTGAGTGTGAGTGCCCCCTCAGGTGGCTGGGCAGTGTGTGAGTGTGAGTGCCCCCTCAGGTGGCTGGGCAGTGTGTGAGTGTGAGTGCCCCCTCAGGTGGCTGGGCAGTGTGTGAGTGTGAGTGCTCCCTCAGGTGGCTGGGCAGTGTGTGAGTGTGAGTGCCTCAGGTGGCTGGGCAGTGTGTGAGTGTGAGTGCCCCCTCAGGTGGCTGGGCAGTGTGTGAGTGTGAGTGCCCTCAGGTGGCTGGGCAGTGTGTGAGTGTGAGTGCCCCCTCAGGTGGCTGGGCAGTGTGTGAGTGTGAGTGCTCCCTCAGGTGGCTGGGCAGTGTGTGAGTGTGAGTGCCCCCTCAGGTGGCTGGGCAGTGTGTGAGTGTGAGTGCCCCCTCAGGTGGCTGGGCAGTGTGTGAGTGTGAGTGCCCCCTCAGGTGGCTGGGCAGTGTGTGAGTGTGAGTGCCCCCTCAGGTGGCTGGGCAGTGTGTGAGTGTGAGTGCCCCCTCAGGTGGCTGGGCAGTGTGTGAGTGTGAGTGCCCCCTCAGGTGGCTGGGCAGTGTGTGAGTGTGAGTGCTCCCTCAGGTGGCTGGGCAGTGTGTGAGTGTGAGTGCCCCCTCAGGTGGCTGGGCAGTGTGTGAGTGTGAGTGCCCCCTCAGGTGGCTGGGCAGTGTGTGAGTGTGAGTGCCCCCTCAGGTGGCTGGGCAGTGTGTGAGTGTGAGTGCCCCCTCAGGTGGCTGGGCAGTGTGTGAGTGTGAGTGCCCCCTCAGGTGGCTGGGCAGTGTGTGAATGTGAGTGCCCCCTCAGGTGGCTGGGCAGTGTGTGAGTGTGAGTGCCCCCTCAGGTGGCTGGGCAGTGTGTGAGTGTGAGTGCCCCCTCAGGTGGCTGGGGCTGGGCAGTGTGTGAGTGTGAGTGCTCCCTCAGGTGGCTGGGCAGTGTGTGAGTGTGAGTGCCCCCTCAGGTGGCTGGGCAGTGTGTGAGTGTGAGTGCCCCCTCAGGTGGCTGGGCAGTGTGTGAGTGTGAGTGCCCCCTCAGGTGGCTGGGCAGTGTGTGAGTGTGAGTGCCCCCTCAGGTGGCTGGGCAGTGTGTGAGTGTGAGTGCTCCCTCAGGTGGCTGGGCAGTGTGTGAGTGTGAGTGCCCCCTCAGGTGGCTGGGCAGTGTGAGTGTGAGTGCTCCCTCAGGTGCTGGGCAGTGTGAGTGCCCCCTCAGGTGGCTGGGCAGTGTGTGAATGTGACAGGACTGGTAAAACCCAGCACTTTGCCCTTACTAAACATGGCTGCAAGACATGTTTTTGCACTGACGTCATCATCACCAGCTCCAATGAACGATCAGGACGTCAGTCCCCGGAGACCACGCCCTGAATCGTACAGCCAATCAATGAGAGTTATGTAGCTCCACGCCCAGTTTCCGAGTTCGACCAATCAGCGGTCGCCATCCATCCCGGAAGTAGTGTGAGTGGGTCAGGAGGAAGCCGGAAGTGATCGAGTCCGCAGTTACGGTGTCGGGATGGATCGGTGACAGAGGCCGATGGAAGGGGCGGGTCCGGGGGACTCGGGAAACGGCGACACCGGGGAGAGCGGCGGGGAGAGCGGCGTGGTGTATACCATGGAGAACAAACCCATCGTCACCTGTCAGTATTATCATTATTATCACTGTCACTGTGTATTATTATTATTATTATCCTTTATTACTGTCACTGTGTATTATTATTATTATTATTACTGTTATATTACATTATTATTATATTATTATTTATTATTATTATTATTTATTATTATTATTATATTACATTATTATTATTTATTATTATTATTTATTATTATTATTATTATTTATTATTATTATTTATTATTATTATTATTATTTATTATTATTATTATTCCATGGAGAACAAGCCCATAGTCATCTGTGAGTTCTTGTATCCTATATTTTTATTATATTTTTCTACCATTGAGAACGAACTCCCCTGTGAGTCCCTATATAATGATATCTTGTTATTATACCGTGGTTATGATATAACTTTCCCCCTCTTTATTTACCAATTTAGGCTCATTGTAGCCTACTTATCATTGCTATGTCAAACCAGACTTCCTTCCCATTATTGCCTGGACATGATATATAAATGATATTTAGTCTATACTTCTCATTCACCAAGTGACACTCCACAATTATTTGCCAAATTGTCATTATTGAGGAACCAGTGACAACCTCAGACCTTTTAGGCTCCTTGCCCTTTACTGGGCAAGTGTAAATGCCTTGCCCTCTAGTGGGATCAAAGAGGGTGAGTAAGGGCACTACCCTCCAAATCCTTACATTGTGTATATAATGGGTCTGTAACCAGACGGTGAGGGTTAGTAAGGGCACTACCCTCCAAATCCTTACATTGTGTATATAATGGGTCTGTAACCAGACGGTGAGGGTTAGTAAGGGCACTACCCTCCAAATCCTTACATTGTGTATATAATGGGTCTGTAACCAGACGGTGAGGGTTAGTAAGGGCACTACCCTCCAAATCCTTACATTGTGTATATAATGGGTCTGTAACCAGACGGTGAGGGTTAGTAAGGGCACTACCCTCCAAATCCTTACATTGTGTATATAATGGGTCTGTAACCAGACGGTGAGGGTTAGTAAGGGCACTACCCTCCAAATCCTTACATTGTGTATATAATGGGTCTGTAACCAGACGGTGAGCGGTTCTGTCCTTGGCCCCCTACTGTTCTCCATTTATACTGCCTCCCTCAGTAAACTCATTAGCTCCTTTGGCTTCCAATATCCTTTCTATGCGGATGACACGCAAATCTACCTGCCCTCTTCTGATCTCTCTCTGCCCATCTTGACTCGTGTCTCTGGCTGCCTCTCTGCAATTTCCAACTGGATGGCTGCTCACTTTCTTAAACTCAACCTGTCCAAAACAGAACTTCTGGCCTCCCTCAAGTGTTAACACTCCTGTGTCTGTCTCCCTCCAAGTCTACAGCGCTACCATCACCTCTACCTCACAGGCTCGCTGCCTGGGTGTTCTTTTTGACTCCAACCTCTCCTTCACCCCTCACGTCCAATCAATCACCAAATAGCACACATCTCCCCCTATTTAATGCCGTATGCGGCTAAGGTGCTGGTCCATGCGGTGCAATCACGTCCAATCAATCACCAAATAGCACACATCTCCCCCTATTTAATGCCGTATGCGGCTAAGGTGCTGGTCCATGCTGTTGTTCTCTCTCTCTCACCTTAAAGGACCACTATAGTGCCAGGAAAACATACTCGTTTTCCTGGCACTATAGTGCCCTGAGGGTGCCCCCACCTTCAGGGTCCCCCTCCCGCCCGGCTATGGAAAGGGGAAAGGGGTAAAAACTTACCTTTTTCCAGCGCTGGGCGGGGAGCTCTCCTCCTCTGATCCTCCTTCTCTCCTCCCCGTCGGCTGAATGCGCACGCGCGGCAAGA